TCCACGTCCACGTCCACGTCCACGACCACGTCGACGTCCACCTCCACGTCCACGTCGACGTCGACGTCCACGTCCACGTCCTCCACGTCCACGTCCACGTCCTCCACGTCCATGTCCACGTCCACGTCCACGACCACGTCCACGTCCACGACCACGTCCACGTCCACGTCCACGTCTACATCCACGTCCACGTCCACGACCAGTCCACGTCCACGTCTACGACCACGTCCACGTCCACGACCACTTCCACGTCCCACGTCCACGTCCACGTCCTCCACGTCCACGTCCTCCACGTCCACGTCCAAGTCCCCGTCCACGTCCACATCCCACCACGTCCACGTCCACGTCCACGTCCACCGTCCACGTCCACGTCCACGACCACGTCCACGTCCACATCCACTTCCACGACCACGTCCACGTCCACGTCCACGTCCACGTACACGTCCACGTCCACGTCCACGTCTACGTCCACGTCCAAGTCCATGTTCTCCACGTCCAGGCCACGTTCACGCCCACGTCCATGTCCACGTCCACGTCCACGTTCTCCACGTCCACGTCCACGTCCACGTTCTCCACGTCCAGGCCACGTCCACATCCACGTCCACGTCCACGACCACGTCCACGTCCACGTCCACGTCTACGACCACGTTCACGTCCACGTCCACGTCCACGTCCACGTCCTCCACGTCCACGTCCACGTTCACGTCCTCGTCCACGTCCACGTCCAAGTCTACGTCCACGTCCACGTCCACGTCCACGACCACGTCAACGTCCACGTCCACGTCCACGTCCACGACCACGTCCACGTCCACGTCCACGTCCAGGTCCACGTCCACGTCCACGTCCACGTCCACAACCACGTCCACGTCTACGACCACGTCAACGTCCACGACCACGTCCACGTCCACGTCCACGTCCACGTCCTCCACGTCCACGTCCTCCACGTCCACGTCCTCCACGTCCACGTCCACGTCCACCTCCACGTCCAAGTCCACGTCCACGTCCACGTCTGCGTCCACGACCACGTCCACGTCCACGTCCACGTCCACGTCCACGACCACGTCCATGTCCACGTCCACGTCCACGGCCAGGTCCACGTCCACGTCCAGGGCCAGGTCCACGTCCACGTCCACGTCCACGTCCACGTCCACGTCCAAGTCCACGTCCTCGTCCACGTCCACGTCCTCGACCACGACCACGTCCATCTCCACGTCCACGGCCACGTCCACGTCCACGTCCACGTCCACGTCCAGGGCCAGGTCCACGTCCACGTCCACGTCCAAGTCCACGTCCACGTCCACGTCCACGTCCACGTCCACGTGCACGACCACGTCCACGTTCAAGTCCAAGTCCCCGTCCACGTCCACATCCAAGTCCACGTCCAAGTCCACGTCCAAGTCCACGTCCACGTCCACGTCCACGTCCACGACCACGTCCACGTCCTCCACGTCCACGTCCTCCACGTCCACGTCCACGTCTACGACCACGTCCACGTCCTCCACGTCCACGTCCACGTCCACGTCCACGTCCACGTCCACGTCCACGTCCACATCCACGTCCACGACCATGTCCACATCCACGTCCAAGTCCACGTCCACGTCCACGTCCAAGTCCACGTCCACGTCCACGTCCATGTCCATGTCCACGTCCACGTCCATGTCTACGTCCACGTCCAGGTCCACGTCGACGTCCACGGTCCACGTCCACGTCCACGTCCACGTCCACGGCCACGTCCACGTCCACGTCCAAGTCCACGTCCACGTCCATGTCCACGCGACCACGTCTACGTCCACGTCCACGTCCACGTCCAGGTCCACGTCCAGGTCCACGTCCACGTCCACGACCACGACCACGACCACGTCCACGACCACGTCCTTGTCCACGTCCATGTCCACGTCCACGTCCACGTCCACGTCCACGACCACGTCCACGTCCACGTCCACGTCCACGACCACGTCCACGTCCACGTCCACGTCCACGTCCACGTGCACGACCACGTCCACGTTCAAGTCCAAGTCCCCGTCCACGTCCACGTCCAAGTCCATGTCCACGTCCACGTCCACGTCCAAGTCCACGTCCACGTCCACGTCCACGACCACGTCCACGTCCTCCACGACCACGTCCTCCACGTCCACGTCCACCACCACGTCCACGTCCTCCACGTCCACGTCCACGTCCACATCCACGTCCACGACCATGCCCACGTCCACGTCCAAGTCCAAGTCCACGTCCACGTCCACGTCCATGTCCACGTCCACGTCCACGTCCATGTCCACGTCCACGTCCACGTCCAGGTCCACGTCGACGTCCACGGTCCACGTCCACGTCCACGTCCACGTCCACGGCCACGTCCACGTCCACGTCCAAGTCCACGTCCACGTCCACGTCCAAGTCCACGCGACCACGTCTACGTCCACGTCCACGTCCACGTCCAGGTCCACGTCCAGGTCCACGTCCACGTCCACGACCACGACCACGACCACGTCCACGACCACGTCCTCGTCCACGTCCACGTCCACGTCCACGTCCATGGCGACGTCCACGTCCACGTCCAAGTCCACGTCCACGTCCAAGTCCCTGCCACCACGTCTACGTCCAAGTCCGCGTCCACGTCCACGTCCGCGTCCACGTCCACGTCCCCGTCCGCGTCCCCGTCCGCGTCCACGTCCACGTCCACGTCCACGTCCGCGTCCACGTCCACGTCCACGTCCGCGTCCACGTCAACGTCCGCGTCCACGTCCACGTCCGCGTCCCCGTCCGCGTCCACGTCCACGACCACGTCTACGTCCACGTCCACGTCCTCCACGTCCACGTCAACGTCCTCCACGTCCACGTCCACGACCACGACCACGTCCACGTCCACGTCCACGTCCACGTCCACGTCCTCGTCCACGTCCACGTCCAAGTCCACGTCCACGTCCACGTCCACGTCCACGTCCACGACCACGTCCACGTCCACGTCCACGTCCACGACCACGTCCACGTCCACGTCCACGTCCACGGCCACGTCCACGTCCAGGTCCACGTCCACGTCCAAGTCCACGTCCACGTCCACGTCCACGTCCACGTCCCTGTCCACGTCCTCGTCCACGTCCACGACCACGTCCACGTCCACGTCCACGTCCACGACCACGTCGACGTCCACGTCCACGTCCTCCACGTCCACGTCCACGTCCTCCACGTCCACGTCCACGACCACGTCCACGTCCACGTCCACGTCCAGGTCCACGTCCACGTCCACGTCCACGTCCACGTCCACGTCCAGGTCCACGTCCACGTCCACGACCACGTCCACAACCACGTCCATGACCACGTCCTCGTCCACGTCCACGTCCACGTCCACGTCCACGTCCACGACCACGTCCACGTCCACGTCCACGACCACGTCCACGTCCACGTCCACGTCCTCGTCCACGATCACGTCCACGTCCACGTCCACGTCCACGTCCACGACCACGTCCACGTCCACGTCCACGTCCTCGTCCACGATCACGTCCACGTCCACGTCCACGTCCACGGCCACGTCCACGTCCATGTCCACGTCCACGGCCACGTCCACGTCTACGTCCACGTCCACGTCCAAGTCCACGTCCACGTCCACGTCCACGTCCCTGTCCACGTCCTCGTCCACGTCCACGACCACGTCCACGTCCACGTCCACGACCACGTCTACGTCCACGTCCACGTCCTCCACGTCCACGTCAACGTCCTCCACGTCCACGACCACGACCACGTCCACGTCCACGTCCACGTCCACGTCCTCGTCCACGTCCACGTCCAAGTCCACGTCCACGTCCACGTCCACGTCCACGACCACGTCCACGTCCACGTCCACGTCCACGACCACGTCCACGTCCACGTCCCCGTCCACGGCCACGTCCAGGTCCACGTCCACGTCCAAGTCCACGTCCACGTCCACGTCCACGTCCCCGTCCAAGTCCTCGTCCATGTCCACGACCACGTCCACGTCCACGTCCACGACCACGTCTACGTCCACGTCCACGTCCTCCACGTCCACGTCAACGTCCTCCACGTCCACGTCCACGTCCACGACCACGTCCACGTCCACATCCACGTCCAGGTCCACGTCCACGTCCACGTCCACGTCCACGTCCACGTCCACGGCCACGTCCACGTCCACGTCCAAGTCCACGTCCACGTCCATGTCCAAGTCCACGCGACCACGTCTACGTCCACGTCCACGTCCACGTCCAGGTCCACGTCCACGTCCACGACCACGTCCACGACCACGTCCATGACCACGTCCTCGTCCACGTCCACGTCCACGTCCACGTCCACGTCCACGACCACGTCCACGTCCACGTCCACGTCCACGTCCACGACCACGTCTACGTCCACGTCCACGTCCTCCACGTCCACGTCAACGTCCTCCACGTCCACGTCCAGGTCCACGACCACGTCCACGTCCACGACCACGTCCACGTCCACGACCACGTCCATGTCCACGTCCACGTCCACGTCCTCCACGTCCACGTCCTCCACGTCCACGTCCACGTCCACCTCCACGTCCAAGTCCACGTCCACGTCCACGTCTGCGTCCACGACCACGTCCACGTCCACGTCCACGTCCACGTCCACGACCACGTCCACGTCCACGTCCACGTCCACGTCCACGGCCAGGTCCACGTCCACATCCAGGGCCAGGTCCACGTCCACGTCCACGTCCACGTCCACGTCCAAGTCCACGTCGTCGTCCACGTCCACGTCCTCGACCACGACCACGTCCACGTCCACGTCCACGGCCACGTCCACGTCCACGTGCACGACCACGTCCACGTTCGAGTCCAAGTCCCCGTCCACGTCCACATCCAAGTCCACGTCCACGTCCACGTCCACGTTCAAGTCCAAGTCCCCGTCCACGTCCACGTCCAAGTCCACCTCCACGTCCACGTCCACGTCCAAGTCCACGTCGACGTCCACGTCCACGTCCACGACCACGTCCACGTCCTCCACGTCCACGTCCTCCACGTCCACGTCCTCGTCCACGTCCACGTCCACGTCCACGTCCACGTCCACGACCACGTCCACCTCCACGTCCACGACCACGTCCACGTCCACGTCCAAGTCCACGTCCACGTCCACGTCCAAGTCCACGTCCACGTCCACGTCCAGGTCCACGTCCACGTCCACGTCCAGGCCACGTCCACGTCCACGTCCACGGCCACGTCCACGTCCACGTCCAAGTCCACGTCCACGTCCACGTCCAAGTCCACGCGACCACGTCTACGTCCACGTCCACGTCCACGTCCAGGTCCACGTCCACGTCCACGACCACGTCCACGACCACGTCCATGACCACGTCCTCGTCCACGTCCACGTCCACGTCCACGTCCACGTCCACGACCACGTCCACGTCCACGTCCACGTCCACGACCACGTCCACGTCCACGTCTACGTCCTCGTCCACGATCACGTCCACGTCCACGTCCACGTCCGCGTCCACGTCCGCGTCCACTTCCGCGTCCACTTCCGCGTCCACGTCCACGTCCACGTCGGCGTCCACGTCCGCGTCCACGTCCGCGTCCACGTCCGCGTCCGCGTCCGCGTCCGCGTCCACGTCCGCGTCCGCGTCCACGTCCACGTCCGCATCCGCGTCCACGTCCGTCCGCGTCCCCGTCCGCGTCCACGTCCGCGTCCACGTCCGCGTCCACGTCCACGTCCGCGTCCACGTCCGCGTCCACGTCCACGTCCGCGCCCACGTTCAGGTCCACGTCCGCGTCCATGTCCAGGTCCACGTCCGCGCCCACGTCCAGGACCACGTCGAGGTCCACGTCCACGCCTACGTCCAGGTCCACGACCAGGTCCACGTCCACGCCCACGACCACGTCCACGACCACGTCCACGTCCAGGTCCAGGTCCAGGTCCACGTCCACGTCTACGTCCACGTCCACCACGTCCACGACCACTTCCACGTCCAAGTCCACGTCCATGTCCATGTCCACGTCCTCCACGTCCACGTCCACGTTCTCCACGTCCACGTCCACGTACACGTCCACGTCCACATCCACGTCCACCACGTCCCCGACCACGTCCACCTCCACGTCCACGTCCACGTCCACGACCACGTCCACGTCTACGTCCACGTCCACGTCTACGTCCACGTCCACGTCCACGACGACGTCCACGTCCACGTCCACGTCCACGTCCAAGTCCACGTCAACGTCCAAGTCCACGTCCACGTCCAGGTTCACGTCCTGGTCCACGTCTAGGTCCAGGTCCACATCCACGTCGACGTCCAAGTCCAAGTCTAAGTCCACGTCCAAGTCCACGTCCACGTCCACGTCCACGTCCAGGTCCACGTCCACGTCCACGTCCACGTCCACGACCACGTCCACGTCCACGTCCACGTCTACGACCACGTCCACGTCCACGTCCACGACCACGTCCGCGTCCACATCCACGTCCACGTCCACGTCCACGTCCAAGACCACGTCCACGTCCACGTCCACGATCACGTCCACGTCACGTCCACGTCCACCACCACGTCCACCACCATGTCCACATCCACGTCCATGTCCATGTCCACGTCCACGTCCACGTCCACGTCCACGACCACGTACACGTCCACGTCCACGCCCACGTCCATGTCCACGTCCATGTCCAAGTCCACGTCCACGTCCACGTCCACGTCCACGTCCAGGTCCAGGTCCACGTCCACGACCACGTCCACGTCCACGACCACGTCCACATCCACGTCCACGTCCAGGTCCACGTCCAGGTCCACGTCCACGTCAACGAGCACGTCCACGACCACGTCCACGTACACGTCCACGTCCACGTCCACGTCCAAGTCCATGTCCACGTCCAGGTCCACGTCAACGTCCACGTCCACGTCCACGTCCAGGTCCACGTCCACGTCCAGGTCCACGTCCACGTCCAGGTCCACGTCCACGTCCTCCACGTCCACGTCCACGTCCTCCACGTCCAGGTCCACGTCCACGTCCACCATGTCCAGGACCACGTCCACCTTCACGTCCACGTCCACGTCCACGTCAACGACCACGTCCACGTCCACGTCCACGTCCACGTCCTCTACGTCTATGTCCACGTCCACGTCTACGTCCACGTCCACGACCATGTCCAAGTCCACATCCACGTCCACGTCCATGTCCACGTCCACGTCCACGTCCACGACCACGTCCACGTCCACGTCCACGACCACGTCCACGCCCACGTCTACGTCCACGTCCACGTCCAGGACCACGTCCACGACCACGTCCACGTCCACGTCCACGTCCAAGTCCACGTCCACGTCCACGTCCACGACCACGTCCTCCACCTCCACGTCCATGTCCACGTCCAATCCACATCACGTCCACGACCACGTCCAAGTCCACGTTCACGTCCACGTCCTCCACCTCCACGTCCATGTCCACGTCCACATCCACATCACGTCCACGACCACGTCCAAGTCCACGTCCACGTCCACGTCCACGTCCTCCACGTCCACGTCCACGTCCACGTCCACCACGTCCACGTCCACGTCTACGACCACGTCTACGTCCACGTCCACGTCCACGACCACGTCCACGTCCACGACCACGTCCACGTCCACGTCCACGACCACCTCTACGTCCACGTCCACGACCACGTCCACGTCCACGTCTACGTCCACGTCCACGTCCACGACCACGTCCACGTCCAAGTCCACGTTCAAATCCACGTCCACGTCCAAGTCCACGTCCACGTCCAGGTCCACGTCCAGGTCTTGGTCCACATCCACGTCCAAGTCCACGTCCACGTCCACGTCCAAGTCCACGTCCACGTCCAGGTCCACGTCCACGTTCACATCCACGTCCACGTCCACGTCCACGTTCACATCCACGTCCATGTCCACGTCCACGTCCAAATCCACGTCCACGTCCACGTCCACGTCCACGTCCAGATCCACGTCCACATCCACGTCCACGTCCACCACGTCCACGTCCACGTCCTAGTCCACGTCCACGTCCACCTCCACGTCCTCCACGTCCACGTCTACGATCTCCACGTCCACGTCCACATCCATGTCCACGTCCACATCCACGTCCACCACGACCACGACCAAGTCCACGTCCACGTCCACATCCACGACCACGTCCACGTCTATGTCCACGTCCACGTCTACGTCCACGTCCACGTCCACGACGACAACCACGTCCACGCCCACGTCCACGTCCAAGTCCACGTCCACATCCAAGTCGACGTCCATGTCCAGGTTCACGTCCAGGTCCACGTCCAGGTCCACGTCCACGTCCACGTCCGTCCACGTCCACGTCCAAGTCCACGTCCACGTCCAGGTCAAGGTCCACGTCTACGTCCACGTTCACGTCCACGTCCACGTCCACATCCACGTCCACAACCATATCCATATCCACGTCCACGTCCACGTCCACGTCCATGTCCATGTCCACATCCAAGTCCACGTCCAGGTCCACGTCCAGATCCACGTTCACGTCCACGTCCACGTCCACGTCCACCTCCACGTCCACCACGTCCACGACCACGTCCACCCCCACGTCCACGTCCAAGTCCACGTCCACGTCCACATCCAAGTCCACGTCCACGTCCAAGTCCACGTCCACGTCCAGGTTCACGTCCTGGTCCACGTCTAGGTCCAAGTCCACGTCCACGTCCACGTCCACGTCCAGGTCCACGTCCACGTCCAAGTCCACGTCCACGTCCACGTCCATGTCCTCCACGTCCACGTCCACGTTCTCCACGTCCACGTCCACGTCCACGTCCTCGTCCACATCCTTGTCCACCACGTCCACGACCACGTCCACTTCCACGTCCACGTCCACGTCCACGTCCACGACCACGTCCACGTCTACGTTCATGTCCACGTCTACGTCAACGTCCACGTCCATGACGACGTCCACGTCCACGTCCACGTCCACGTCCACGTCCAGGTCCACGTCCAGGTTCACGTCCAGGTCCACGTCGAGGTCCAGGTCCACATCCAAGTCCACGTCTACGTCCAGGTCCAGGTCCACGTCTACGTCCACGTTCACATCCACGCCCAGGTCCACATCAACGTCCACGACCACATCCACGTCCACGTCCACGTCCACATCCATGTCCACGTCCACATCCAAGTCCACGTCCACGTCCACGTCCAGATCCACATTCACGTCCACGTCCACGTCCACGTCCACCACGTCCACGACCACGTCCACGTCCACGTCACGTCCACGTCCACCACCACGTCCACGTCCACGTCCACGTCCACGTCCACGTCCACGTCCATGCCCACGTCCATGTCCACGTCCACGTCCACGTCCATGTCCACGTCCAGGTCCACGTCCACGTCCACGACCACGTCCACGTCCACGACCACGTCCATGTCCACGTCCACGTCCACGACCACGTCCAAGTCCACGTCCACGTCCACGACCACGTCCACGTCCACGTCCACGTCCACGTCCACGTCCACGTCCATGTCCACGTCCACGTCCACGACCACGTCCACGTCCAGGTCCACGTCCACGTCCACGACCACGTCCACGTCCAGGTCCACGTCCACGTCAACGAGCACATCCACGACCACGTCCACGTACACGTCCACATCCACGTCCACGTCCACGTCCAAGTCCATGTCCACGTCCAGGTCCACGTCAACGTCCACGTCCACGTCCACGTCCACGTCCAGGTCCACGTCCACGTCCAGGTCCACGTCCACGTCCAGGTCCACGTCCATGTCCTCCACGTCCACGTCCACGTCCTCCACGTCCAGGTCCACGTCCACGTCCACCACGTCCACGACCACGTCCACCTCCACGTCCACGTCCACGTCCACGTAAACGACTACGTCCACGTCCACGTCCTCTACGTCTACGTCCACGTCCACGTCTACGTCCACGTCCACGACCAAGTCCACGTCCACATCCACGTCCACGACCACGTCCACGTCCACGACCACGACCACGCCCACGTCCACGTCCACGACCACGTCCACGCCCACGTCTACGTCCACGTCTACGTCCACGACCACGTCCACGTCCACGTCCACGTCCAAGTCCACGTCCACGTCCATGTCCACGACCACGTCCACATCCTCGTCCACGACCACGTCCACGTCCACGTCCACGTCCACCACGTCCACGACCACGTCCACCTCTACGTCCACGTCCACGTCCATGTCCACGTCCACGTCCATGTCCACGTCTACGTCCACGTCCACGTCCACGACCACGTCCTCGTCCAAGTCCACGTTCAAATCCACGTCCACGTCCAAGTCCACGTCCACGTCCAGGTTCACGTCTAGGTCCACGTCCAGGTCCAGGTCCACGTCCACGTCCAAGTCCACGTCCACGTCCACGTCAAAGTCCACATCCACGTCCAGTTCCACGTCCACGTTCACGTCCACGTCCATTTCCACGTCCACATCCACATCTACGTCCACGTCCACGTCCACGACCACGTCCACGTCCAAGTCCACGTCCAAATCTACGTCCACATCCAAGTCCACGTCCACGTCCAGGTTCACGTCCAGGTCCAGGTCCAGGTCCAGGTCCACGTCCACGTCCAAGTCCACGTCCACGTCCACGTCCACGTCCACGTCTAGGTTCATGTCCAGGTCCACGTCCTGGTCCAGGTCCACGTCCACGTCCAAGTCCACGTCCACGTCCACGTCCAAGTCCACGTCCACGTCCAGGTCCACGTCCAGGTTCACGTCCACGTCCACGTCCACGTCCACGACCATGTCCACCTCTACGTCCACGTCCACGTCCATGTCCACGTCCACGTCCACGTCTACGTCCACGTCCACGTCCACGACCACGTCCACGTACACATCCACGTCCACGTCCACCTCCACGTCCACGTCCACGTCCAAGACCACGTCCATGTCCACGTTCATTTCCACGACCACGTCCACGTCCACGTCCACGTCCACCACCACGTCCACCACCACGTCCACGTCCACGTCCATGTCCACGTCCACGTCCACGACCACGTCCACGTCCACGTCCACGTCCACGACCACGTACACGTACACGTCCACGTCCACGCCCTCGTCCATGTCCACGTCCATGTCCTAGTCCACGTCCACGTCCACGTCCACGTCCACGTCCACGACCACGTCCACGTCCACGACCACGTCCACGTCCACGTCCACGTCCAGGTCCACGTCTAGGTCCACGTCCACGTCAACGACCACGTCCACGACCACGTCCACGTACACGTCCATGTCCACGTCCACGTCCAAGTCCATGTCCACGTCCAGGTCCACGTCCACCTCCACGTCCACGTCCAAGTCCACGTCCACGTCCACGTCCACGTCCACGTCCAAGTCCACGTCCATGTCCACGTCCACGTCCACGTCCACGACCACGTCCAGGTCCACGTCCACGTCTATGACCACGTCCACGTCCACGTCCACGACCACATCCACGTCCACGTCCACGTCCACGTCCACGTCCACGTCTACGACCACGTCCAAGTCCAAGTCCACGTCCACGTCCATGCCCACTCCAAGTCCACGTCCACGTCCACGTCCACGTCCAGGTCGACGACCACGTCCACGTCCACGACCACGTCCACGTCCAGGTCCACGTCCACGTCCATGTCCGCGTCCACGTCCACGACCACGTCCACCTCCGCGTCCACGACCACATCGATGTCCGCGTCCACGACCACGACCACGTCCAAGTCCATGTCCATGTACACGTCCACGTCGACGTCCACGTCCACCACCACGTCCACCACCACGTCCACGTCCACGTCCATGTCCACGTCCACGTCCACGTCCATGTCCACGTCCAAGTCCACGTTCAAATCCACGTCCACGTCCAAGTTCACGTCCAGGTCCACGTCCAGGTCCAGGTCCACGTCCACGTCCAAGTCCACGTCCACGTCCACGTCCAAGTCCACGTCCACGTCCAGTTCCACGTCCACGTTCACATCCACGTCCATTTCCACGTCCACATCCACATCTACGTCCACGTCCACGTCCATGACCACGTCCACGTCCAAGTCCACGTCCAAATCCACGTCCACATCCAAGTCCACGTCCACGTCCAGGTCCACGTCCAGGTTCACGTCCTGGTCCACGTCTAGGTCCAGGTCCATGTCCAAGTCCACGTCCACGTCCAGGTCCACGTCCACGTCCACGTCCACGACCACGTCCACGTCCACGTCCACGACCACGTCCATGTCCACGTCCACGACCACGTCCACGTCCAGGTCCACGTCCAGGTCCACGTCCACGTCAACGACCACGTCCACGACCACGTCCACGTACACGTCTACGACCACGTCCACGTCCACGTCCAAAACCATGTCCACGTCCAGGTCCACGTCCACGTCCACGTCCACGTCCAAGTCCACGTCCACGTCCACGTCCACGTCCAAGTCCACGTCCATGTCCACGTCCACGTCCACGTCCACGACCACGTCCAGGTCCACGTCCACGTCTATGACCACGTCCACGTCCATGTCCACAACCATATCCACGTCCACGTCCACGTCCACGTCCACGTCTACGACCACGTCCAAGTCCAAGTCCACGTCCACGTCCATGCCAACTCCAAGTCCACGTCCACGTCCATGTCCACGTCCAGGTCGACGACCACGTCCACGTCCACGACCACGTCCACGTCCAGGTCCACGTCCACGTCCACGTCCGTGTCCACGTCCACGACCACGTCCACCTCCGCGTCCACGATCACATCGATGTCCGCGTCCACGACCACGACCACGTCCAAGTCCACGTCCATGTACACGTCCACTTCGACGTCCACGTCCACCACCACGTCCACCACCACGTCCACGTCCACGTCCATGTCCACGTCCACGTCCACGACCACGTCCACGTCCAAGTCCACGTTCAAATCCACGTCCACGTCCAAGTCCACGTCCACGTCCAGGTTCACGTCCAGGTCCACGTCCAGGTCGAGGTCCACGTCCACGTCCAAGTCCACGTCCACGTCCACGTCCAAGTCCACGTCCACGTCCAGTTCCACGTCCACGTTCACGTCCACGTCCATTTCCACGTCCACATCCACATCTACGTCCACGTCCACGTCCACGACCACGTCCACGTCCAAGTCCACGTCAAAATCCACGTCCACATCCAAGTCCACGTCCACGTCCAGGTCCACGTCCAGGTTCACGTCCTGGTCCACGTCTAGGTCCAGGTCCACGTCCAAGTCCACGTCCACGTCCAGGTCCAGGTCCACGTCCACGTCCACGTCCACGACCACGTCCACGTCCACGTCCACGTCCACGACCACGTCCATGTCCACGTCCACGACCACGTCCACGTCCACATCCACGTCCACGTCCACCTCCACGTCCACGTCCACGTCCAAGACAACGTCCACGTCCACGTCCACGAGCACGTCCACGTCACCTCCACGTCCACCACCACGTCCACCACCACGTCCACGTCCACATCCATGTCCACGTCCACGTCCACGTCCACGTCCACGTCCACGTCCTCCACGTCCACGTCCAAGTCCACGTCCACGTCCACGTCCACGTCCACGACCACGTCAACGTCCACGTCCACGTCCACGTCCACGTCCACGTCCACGTCCACGACCACGTCCACGTCCACGTCCACGTCCACGTCCAGGTCCACGTCCACGTCCACGTCCACGTCCACGACCATGTCCACGTCTACGACCACGTCCACGTCCACGACCACGTCCACGTCCACGTCCACGTCCTCCACGTCCACGTCCTCCACGTCCACGTCCTCCACGTCCACGTCCACGTCCACCTCCACGTCCAAGTCCACGTCCACGTCCACGTCTGCGTCCACGACCACGTCCACGTCCACGTCCACGTCCACGACCACGTCCACGTCCACGTCCACGTCCACGGCCAGGTCCACGTCCACGTCCAGGGCCAGATCCACGTCCACGTCCATGTCCACGTCCACGTCCACGTCCAAGTCCACGTCCTCGTCCACGTCCACGTCCTTGACCACGACCACGTCCACGTCCACGTCCACGGCCACGTCCACGTCCACGTCCAAGTCCACGTCCACGTCCACGTCCACGTGCACGACCACGTCCACGTTCAAGTCCAAGTCCCCGTCCACGTCCACGTCCAAGTCCACGTCCACGTCCAC